TTTCTAGAGGCAACCTGTGTTCCTCGGCTTCGGGCCCCTTTCCATCTTCCAGGCAATCACATTACTCAGCCTGTTTGGTCGCCGCCCCTCCTTCTCTGGCTCTGACCTTCCTGCCTCTCTCTTGCACCTATGAAGACACTGTGATTACACCGGCCCACCTGGATTCTCCCAGATACTCTCTATTTTAAGGTCAGCTGATTAAGCCACCTAATTCTATCTGCAGCCTTAACTCCCTCTGTGCTATGTAACATAATATTTCACAGATTCAGGGGATTAAGACATGGACATCTTTGCGGAGCCACTATCCTGCCTACCATAGTCAGGCTGGTGAAACCTATAAGACCCCCTTCAGTATAATGCTTTTAAATGCATTAAATAACATGCATATGACTACAAAGAAAACTAACTCCACTGAATATGATTATCAAAATACTTTAAAAACAAATTTGATAGAGGAATGCATGTGGCCCTCTTTTAACACATTATAAGATCTAACGGTGAGTCCAAGAATTACCTTAATCTCAAAGTGGAGATGTACATATTTCAAAATTATCTACAATAATGTGATATGAAAAACTGCAATTTCCATTGTTGGCATAATTCCAAATACAATTTGTACTGTGATTTGTTGCCTACATTTATAATCAAAGGAAATGCTACTTTTTTGTTAAAGGTTACTGATTTTTTTTTCCTATTCAAATTCACAACAAATTTCACTTATGAGCTGGTTCAGAATCCTGGTATAGATTCAGACATTTCTTAAATTTTAAAAATAAAAGTACTTTAATATACACAATGGAATACTATTCAGCCATAAAAAGAAAACAAATCCTACCATTTGCAACAATGTGGATGGAGCTAGAGGGTATTATGCTCAGCGAAATAATCCAGGTGGAGAAAGGTAAGTACCAAATGATTTCCCTCATTTGTGGAGTGTAACATCAAAGCAAAAACTGAAGAAACAAAACAGCAGCAGACTCACAGAACCCAAGAAGGGACAAGTGGTTACCAAAGGGAAAGAGGGAGGGGAGGGTAGGAAGGAAGGGAGAAGGGGATTAAGAAGTAATCCTCATACATAATATGGGGTAGCACAGGGAAGGCAGTATAGCACAGAGAAGACAAGTAGTGACTCTACAGCACCTTACTATGCTGATGGACAGTGACTGTAATGGGGTATGTGAGGGGGACTTGATAATGGGGATTGTCCCTCACCATCCTTCACCTGTTAGTTTGCAAAAAACTTAATGGCCTCTGGTTTGCTTCCCCACTAAATCTATTTCTATAAGACCCTAATAATCTGACCTGAGTCATTCCCTTGTTGAAAACTCTTCCTAGGCTCCCCTGTGCCCACAGGAAAGGGACACTGGGTAAAGATATATGAGAGCTCTCTGTAGTATGTTGGCAACTTTTCTGTAATTCTAAAACTATTCTAAAATAAAAAGTGTATTTTAAAAAGCACACTATTCCAGGCCAACTTGGTAATGATGGAATTTCTACAAGGAAGGATTTCATTTCTTTGGCTTAAGACTTCAACTACAAATTTGATTAAATTAAGGCTTTCATGAATTAGGTACATTAAATTAAAGTGAAATTTTTCTATACCCTTGTTAGTCATTGTAACTCCAGGGGGAAAATCCCAGAGCAAAATACCTTTGAAACCAAAATCAGTGAAAGGGAGAAATAAAGTGTGAGAAACCCATTTATTTCTTATAAGCAGTCGTCCGCCATCTCTCTCAACCCAGCTGCAGAAGAAGAGGCTCCACCCAACCTCTCCAATCCAGATAAGCCCTCACTCGCCCGTGTAATTACCTATTGACATGGAGATGGACTTCTTTGCTCCACCTCTTGGCAACACCTATTGATAAGGAGATGCACTAAAGCCAGGTGAGAGATTCTGGAAATATTACAATTTTACCACAATCATTTACACTCATCCAAATTTTCTTGCTTTCAACTCTGGGTCTGGGTATGGAATTTTTTCATGGAAATTTTTTAAAGGAACCAAGAGACAGAGAAATAGTATGGTGGTTTAAAATATGTCCACAGATTCTTTGATACTTGAGGAGCCTAATTCCCCTTTCTTCACTTCTAAGGAATAGAATATGCCAGACATGATGGCATGATTTCTGAGACCAGACTGTCTCTAAAAAAGGCCTGTAGCTTCTGCCTTACTCCCTCTCTTAGACCGCCTGCCCTCAAGGAAGCAGCCATGTTGTAAGGACACTCAAGCAGCCCCATGAAGAGGGCCAGGCAGCAAGGAAGAGGGCCTCGGGGCCCCAGCACTGGGAGTCACCACTTGAGAAGCAGACACCCCAGTTCAACCATCAGCTGACTACAGCCCCTGCTGATGTTTTGACCACAGACTCATGAGAAACCCTGAGCCAAAACCACACAGCTAAGTCACTCCCAAATTCCTGATCCACAGCACTATAAGACAATAAATATTTATTGTTTGAGCTGCTATGGTTGGGGTACTTTGTTATATAACAATAGACAACTCCTTAACTCACCTCCACCCCTTTCTCTACCACAGATAGAACTGTCCTTATCTGAGCCTTAGTCTAGACACAAGATCTAATTTTTGTGTCATAGACCTCTTTGTCAGTGCATTAGTTTCCTGTTGCCAGTGTAAAAAATTTCTGCACATTCAGAGGATTAAAACAACACAAAGGGATTATTGTATAACTCTGGAGGTCCAAAGTGTGAATGAATCTACAGGGGGCTAAAATCAAAGTAGCAGGGTCATTCCCTTATGGATGCTCCAGGAGAGAATCTCTTTCCTTGACTTTTCCAGTTTCTAGAGGCAACCTGTGTTCCTCGGCTTCGGGCCCCTTTCCATCTTCCAGGCAATCACATTACTCAGCCTGTTTGGTCGCCGCCCCTCCTTCTCTGGCTCTGACCTTCCTGCCTCTCTCTTGCACCTATGAAGACACTGTGATTACACCGGCCCACCTGGATTCTCCCAGATACTCTCTATTTTAAGGTCAGCTGATTAAGCCACCTAATTCTATCTGCAGCCTTAACTCCCTCTGTGCTATGTAACATAATATTTCACAGATTCAGGGGATTAAGACATGGACATCTTTGCGGAGCCACTATCCTGCCTACCATAGTCAGGCTGGTGAAACCTATAAGACCCCCTTCAGTATAATGCTTTTAAATGCATTAAATAACATGCATATGACTACAAAGAAAACTAACTCCACTGAATATGATTATCAAAATACTTTAAAAACAAATTTGATAGAGGAATGCATGTGGCCCTCTTTTAACACATTATAAGATCTAACGGTGAGTCCAAGAATTACCTTAATCTCAAAGTGGAGATGTACATATTTCAAAATTATCTACAATAATGTGATATGAAAAACTGCAATTTCCATTGTTGGCATAATTCCAAATACAATTTGTACTGTGATTTGTTGCCTACATTTATAATCAAAGGAAATGCTACTTTTTTGTTAAAGGTTACTGATTTTTTTTTCCTATTCAAATTCACAACAAATTTCACTTATGAGCTGGTTCAGAATCCTGGTATAGATTCAGACATTTCTTAAATTTTAAAAATAAAAGTACTTTAATATACACAATGGAATACTATTCAGCCATAAAAAGAAAACAAATCCTACCATTTGCAACAATGTGGATGGAGCTAGAGGGTATTATGCTCAGCGAAATAATCCAGGTGGAGAAAGGTAAGTACCAAATGATTTCCCTCATTTGTGGAGTGTAACATCAAAGCAAAAACTGAAGAAACAAAACAGCAGCAGACTCACAGAACCCAAGAAGGGACAAGTGGTTACCAAAGGGAAAGAGGGAGGGGAGGGTGGGAAGGAAGGGAGAAGGGGATTAAGAAGTAATCCTCATACATAATATGGGGTAGCACAGGGAAGGCAGTATAGCACAGAGAAGACAAGTAGTGACTCTACAGCACCTTACTATGCTGATGGACAGTGACTGTAATGGGGTATGTGAGGGGGACTTGATAATGGGGATGAATGCAGTAACCACAATGTGAAACCTTCATAAGATTGTATATCAATGATACCTTAATAAATAAATAAATAAGGTACTGTAGTAAATTAAAGTAGGACTACCTCCTCAAATCCCTAGATACTCCTGCTTTTTAATTCAAATTGTATTAAGCACCTACTTTGTACAGATTTTCATATACCCAATATTAAGCAAAGAAAACAACAAAAGTAATGGAAACTCGGTGACAACATGCAAATAACACAAGGATTCTGATCATTTATAGAAGGAAACCTGACCTCTAACTCGAAAATGGACATATTTGTGTTCTAAGCCTAATGAAAGCAAACTCAGGTGGGGGAGGGGCAGGAAGCAATAAAAGCTATAGGATTTGCAGACATGACAAGAGTGACATCTAGTGGGCAGCATTTGGTAAAGCACCTCAAGTACTTAACCAAGAAATACTGCAGACAAAAGTACAAAGACACATTCACTAAACATTTATTGAGCACCCAAACAGATAAATATCTCGTTAGGCCCAGGCCACCAGCCCAGTTGTGTTCTCTCCCTCCCCGGCGCTATTCCACACCATAATGGCCTTAGTACAGGGCAAGAAGAAGAAGGGAAGGGGAGAAGTAATGTGACCAGTGGCCGGAGGAAAGTGAGGTCCCTAGACCCACCCCTCTGACCTGGAGGTGCGCACCCCGTGGCGGAACGCCCTGCAGAGGCAGGCAGCCCTGGGCACTGCTCTGCTCCGCGCTGCGGTCCTCCACCCCAGGGCAGGTTGGAGTTCCACTGCAACCTGGGTGGTCAGAGTCCAGTGGCTGGAGGAGAGGCCCAGGCAGACATATGCTTGGGGGCATTTCTGCAGGGAATTCATGAGTCTCCGGTACCCAAAGTCATGTCTTCAAGGGCAGCGGTGGACTGCATAGCCTCCTCCGCCAGTGGGACGATCACGGCCAAAGGAGGCCCACGGCAGAGGGAGCAGCTCTTCTGAGATGGAAGGGTAGGACTGCTCTTACCTGTCTGTCTGCCCGCACATGTCCTGGCCGGGACCGTATTCATGACTGCAGCCACTGTTTAAACTTCATGCGGGCAGTGTGGAAGAGGAGGGAGAATGCAGCCACGTCTCTCCCAAACGCCGTCTGTAGCTCGCCATTCCCCCTAAGCCACCGTGCAGAGCAATCACCAGGGATCTTGTTGGAGCGGGGGTCCTGATTCAGTGGGGCTGGGGTGGGGAACAGGATGCACGTTTCTAACTACTCCCAGGCCTGTGGTACCGCCGGCCTGTGGATCACACTTGAATAGCAATGCTGTAGCAGACATAATTTTCGTCTGCTCGGCACCCCATTTTTTTAAAGACCCCATTGCACCCCCATTCCCTAAGAATTCTCCTCATCCTGTATGATTCATGGAGGCTGGTTCCACCCTCCCCAGAGCGGGCACATGCCCCAGGCCAGCCTGGTGGGAAGCCTTCCCAGGACATTGTCAGAACCATCCGGCATTTCCAAGTGTGCGGTCATCATGCGCATGGAGAAGGCGCTCCTTTTCACCATGTTGAGGCAGCCTGAGAATTATGCCGTCGCAGAAGAAAACAGCCCAGACATGGTGAGAAAGAAGCAGGGCTCTGGAAAACCCTAGATCTAGCCATGCCTCCAGACTTTTCTCCCTGAACTAGTTTGAGATGGGTCTCTTCACTTACAATGAACATTCCTCCCTATTTCATTCTTGATGCTAATGAAAGATACAGACAGCTGCTGATTTCCAAATGGAGACATAATTGTTCCCATTTTAAAGATCCACATCTCCCAGGAAGCTTCCCCAGCCTCTCCAGTCAGCAGGAAGCCTCCTGCACTGAAACCCACAGCTCTTGCTGCCTGGTACCCTCATTTGGAGCTTTTCGTTTACAGCAACAATTATAAGCCCGTTTATAAAGCATTTTCCAGTTGCAAAGCCTCATTTAGATACATAGCAACAACAAGAGCTAAACTGACTGGATTCAAACCTCACCTTTGCCACTTCTTAGCTGTTCGATGTTGGGCCTGTTACTTAGCTGCTCTATGCTTCCATTTCCTCAGTGGAGAATGGGGATAATTATAGGATGGGGCTGCTGTGATGTCGGTTGGTTAATGTTTGTTAAACTCTTAGAACAGTGCCCAGAACATGGTAAAATCCATGTAAGCGCCTACTACTACTACAATCATTATTGTTACTATTTTGTCCCCAAAGCAACGTCTCAGAGGAGGTGTTATTTTTATCTTTATTCCCATTCTGTAGATAAAGAGACTGAAAATGATTGTGAGACAAACTCACTTAGTGAACAACGTTGCTGAATTTCAAGTCTGCCGATTCTATATCCCCATTTACATCCTCCCCAAACTGTAATGAACAAGTGGACACTTCTGATGCTGCTTTGTATTATTTAGCTATTTTATTGCTCTACCAATTTTAATGGGGATGTCCTCTCATTAGCTAAATTGTACTCTACTTGACATGAGGAACTCTGATTTACACATCTTTAAAATCCCTCAGCAAGTAGCTTGGTAGTTCCAAGTAGTAAGCAAATACCCATTGACTGAAATATTTAATGGGACAGAAATATATTTACATTAATCCTTTAAATGGTAGGGACAGTTTACAAAACAGTATATACATGAAACCCTATTACTGTCAAACATACTTTTCTATATATATTTTTCTGCATATAGACAGAAAAAACTGACAAGGGATTTATATCTAAATATTAACAAGGTTTAATTTCTGAATAATGCCTATGGACAACCTTTGTGTGTGTGTCTGGTATTTTAATTAAGAGATTTCCAAACACTCAATGGCTGGCATCTGTGGGGTGCCAGTTTTCTCTCACCTCCATCCTCTCCACTGTTACCTGAGAACTGTCAGAGTCTCAGCACCTCAGCTGGAAACAGACTGAGGGAATCTTCTGGAATACAGAATCTATGCTTGTTAATACCCATCGGTGTGGCCACATATCCTAGTGTCTCCCACTTGCGCCCTAAGCTGCTGGACTGAAGGCACCACTTCCCAATGGCGTCCTAAAATTCCCTCTTGTTTCCATCTGGGGTCTTCTCAGGAAAGATTCATCAGAGAACATAGAAACAGCTTGGCATTCATTTAGTAGCTCTCCCAAAAGGAGGTGGAAATACTTATGTGCTCCCCTGAGGAGAAGAGAGGGAGGCTTCACATGGGGGCTCTCCAGTCTACATCTTCTACCATAAACATGCATCTTATAATAGAGGAAAGTGCATTTTTAAAAGGAAGTATTGTTCAATAAAAGCGTTAAGACATATGTTAAAAATATACTTCAAGAAGCTGAGTCCTGCCAAGCCTCACGGTGTTGACAATATTCTTTTCCTAGTATTTGTTTTTGCTTGTGGGGAGTCCTTAAAAGTCAATTAACTTTGAATTCTCTATTCTGGATTCTTTAGTCTGCATGTCCTCTCAGTTTCCTGGGCTGATTTCCTACCTTCACTATAGCTGACATAAAACACCTACAAATCTATAAAAATATTACTTAAGGACTATCCTAATTTCAAAAAAAAAAGGAAATAAAAATTGTCTTTAAATATGTCAATGAGTCAAAGCTCAGGAAACTACAGAGTGAGTCTGATCCCTCTTTGACATTTTGCAAATATTTTCTGGTTCCTTCTATGTGACAAGCCCTGGAGATAAAGTGACAAAGTAAAATGTACTCTCTTTCAGCCCTCTTGGAGCTGAGAATCTAGTGGACTTAAATCCCACTCACCTCTGGAAGCAATGCTCCTTTTTTCTAAGCCAGTCATCTTTCTATGCTAAGTACTCTGTAAATTTTCCAAAACTAAAGCTTTCCATGAACACTGAAGAGAGAGAGAGGTATGGGGTGAAAGGCATTAGTAGAAGAGAAGTTGCCTCATTTTATATTCCTAACTATTGGTGTAACATCTGCCCTTACAAATGTATTGCAAACTCTATGAGGGAAGGGAGCATATGTTTGTATTCACTGCTCTGTCTCCAGCACCTAGAACAATGTCTGGCACTTAGGAGGTACCAATAACTATTTGAATTAATTAATTAATTAATTAATGAAAGTAGGACTATCCTGGCAGATATTAGGTGCTCATTTGTGGATAGTTAGATGGATGACCAGGTGGTAGAGTAGATGAGTAGATAAATATACAGATGAGTTAATGGTGGATGGGTAGGTCAATGGGTTGATGAGTGGGTGACTGAATAGATAGAAGGATAATTGAGCAAGAGAATGGGCAAATGGCTGCATGACTGGGTTGGTACATATGTGGGTGGGTGATTTTTTTAAATGGAAATTTTCAGATTCATTCAAGATGGTGGTGTGAGAGGTGAGACAGAGAATTCCTCCCAAAACTACATATAGTATGAAAATGTAGTTAATTGACACAACTAATCCTAAAACAACAAAAATAAAGAAGGCTGAACTAGACTGCACACAGACCTCACGAACAGAGCAGACCTCACAAAACAGGGTAACGTATGAAAGCCTTAATCAGGCAGGACCCAAGCCCTTACCCCACCCCAGCTCACCGGCAGGAGGAAGAGAAATGGAGCCAGGAAAGGGGTGGAAGCCTGGGACTGCTGAATACCCAGCCCTGGAGGTCTGCCTTGGAAACAGAAACCTACACTGTGTAGTGCTCTGGATGTTGGGAAGCTCAGACAGGCAGAGTGCTTGAGAGACAGATTCCAGCCATTTGTGGAGGAGGGGATCCACACCCAGCCGCTCTGGAAGAAGGGAAAGGCAGGCAGTCTGAGAGGCTTCCTAGCAGCAAGAGGGCTCCTGGAGGGGCAGGGTTTGCAAGCAGCTTGCTGCATGGGGGAGGGGAGAGCTGAACAAGGTTGTTTGGGTGTGCTCAGCCCAGCTTGTTGGGAACTTTGAGGTGCTTCAGGTGCCCCATTCCCCTGGCTAGCTACTCAGCTCTGAGGACCCCCACTGTGGCATGCAGCCTGCAGCACCTTCCTCCTAGCCTGCTGGCACCGGTTCTCAAACTGACAATCGCTGCATTGGCATCAGGCCAGCCAGAAGGAGGCTCAGGCTACCACAGCTATAGACACAAAGTACAGAGGCTTACACCTGTGTGCTCAGCCCACTGGCTCTGATACTGGAGACAGGCACCACAGATGGGAATCAGGAAGCAGATCTTTCCTGCCCCCAGGCACAGCTCTGCTCCCCTAAGGCCCCCAACCTCACTCTAGGGGCTGAGCAGCTCCAGAGACTGGAGCTTCTGGGCACTAGTGGGCACCACACAGAAATATGAAACATCAAAAGAACATGGTTCAGACCAAAATCTCACAAAACCCAGAAAAAGGACCTAATGAAACTGAAATCACCAATCTGCCTGAAAGAGAGTTCAAAATAAAAATCATAAACATGCTTATGGAGGTACAAAAAAATATTCAAGACCTCAGGAATTAGTTTAAGTCAGAGATTCAGTCATTAAGAAATTCCATATCTGAAATGAAACATACAATGGAGGGATTTAAAAGCAGAATAGATGTAGTACAAGTGACGGTAGATGGAATAGAAATTGGAGAAGAGGAATACAAAGAAGCTAAGGCACAAAGAGAAAAAAGAATCTCTAAGAATGAAAAAATATTGAGATAATTGTGTGATGAATCCAAATGGAACAATATTCGTATTATAGGGGTACCAGAAGAAGAGAGAGAAAAAGGGATAGAAAGTATCACTGAGGAGGTAATTGCTGAAAACTTACCAATCTGGGGAAGGAGATAGTCTCTCAAGCCATGGAGGTGCACAGATCTCCCAACACAAGGGACCCAAGGAAGACAACATCAAGACATATAATAATTAAAATGGCAAAGATCAAGGATAAAGCCGGACATTTAAAAGCAGCTAGAGAAAAAAGATCACATATAAAGGAAAACCCATCAGGCTATCATCAGACTTCTCAACAGAAACCTTATAGGCCAGAAGGGAGTGGCATGATGTATTTAATGCAATGAAGCAGAAGGGCCTTGAACCAAGAAGACTATACCTGGCAAGGTTATCATTTAAATTTGAAGGAGGGATTAAGCAATTTTCAGATTAGAAAAAGTTGAGAGAATTTACCTCCCACAAACCACCTCTACAGTGCTTTTTGGAGGAACTCCTATAGATGGAAGTATTCCTAAGGCTAAATAGATGTCACCCAAGGGATAGACAAAGAGTACAGAATATGATTCATAACATACAAAGAATGGAGG